TCTAATGATATCCAAAGACAGATAAAAATTATAAATAAGGATATTGTTTATACATAAATACAAATAATACTAATTAAGAATCAGTATGTTTACTATCTCCTATTAATTTTAAAGCGGAATATAATTTTTATGAAATTATTATAGGACTGCATGACGGGTACTTACCACGCTCATCCCGACTGCATGAAGTTCTTCGTATGCGTAAATGGAGTACTGATAGCGCAAAGTTGCGCTCCCGGTCTAGTGTGGAACAATGAGCAGACGCAATGTGACTTTCCTCGTGCTTCCTCCTGTACTGACCACCGACAGGTGATGTCCGCCGCTATGACTGATGCCAAACCTGATGCTTCTATGCAACTTCAGGACGAACCTCCAAGTAAGTTTCAAATATTACTCCATCAACATATATGACTTCTAACAGCTGCGACTATTATTTGACTGTAATATTACTTCCCACCAGGTATATTACAGTCACTTTGTCGTGCATCAATTAAAAAAATGAGGGAGCCCTCAGTGAATGATAGTATTGTCGGTACCATTTTCTACATTTCTACACTTTAGTCCGTCTCTTTTGTGCTTCATCGAAAATGTTTTCGTGATCTGTTTAAGCACCTATTTTATCTTTTTGTATATAGTTAATGCAGGTAGCCTGTCATCAAAATAAGACGCTAAAGTTGTATTAAACATGATTTGAAACTTATCGCCACTTAAACCAATGGTGACCGTAATTCATTTTTTTCGTAGAGAATACAAGTGTACAGATCAATACAAATAATGGCAAATTGAAGAAGAAAGCTGAGATAAGCTTTCTTTTAACAATTCTATCGTTTTCTCAGAATTTTGTGCAAATGGCGAATATGCTGCCTTTGAAGCTGACTGCACCCGTTATCGTCATTGCATCTTTGGCAAGTTTGAAGAATTCTCATGCAGTTCTGGCTTACATTGGAATGAGGTAAAAACGAAAGACTAAACGAATTATGCTCTAAGATTGGTCTAAGTGCATTCAAATCTTTCTTGCACTCTTTTCTTAAAAGGATATGTCGAAATTCATGTCAGAATCTATTATTCTGTAGATCACATTTTTATAAATGTATTTTTAAAAACTTTTAACTTTAAAGATTTTACATTTTAGGAAAAACAAATATGCGATTGGCCGAGAAACGCGAAATGCAAAGCAAATAATAAGCCCAAACCAATCGTTGAAACTCCAAAACCGCCGAAACCAACAATGCCACCTGTGGAGTACCAACCAGAACCAATGCCAACCCAGCCGGCAGTACCGATGCTACCATCTGGAACATCACCAGCAGTGTTGGGTGAAAGACCACCTCTTTTGAACAGTTAGTTGATATTACATTTATTTTCATCACTTATTTATAAGCCATAGTGTAAATTCTATCACATTATAAGAAAATTAAATTTACTGCAAAATACTATGAATTCGATCGGAGTAATTTAGATACTGTATAGAATTGATTATAGAATAGTGATAATATTTATTTATTTATTTATTTAAGGACAGCTTACAAGACAATACACTGATAATAGCATTATTACAATAATAAAATAGCATGCAAATAAGTGTTGCCTCAATTACAAGCTGCCACGGCATGTACAGTTACACAGGAGGAAATACGTGAGAGATGTTTAATAAGTTTATGCTTAGTTATTCTATCATTATGATAACAATTACTTATCTGTTATAGCAGCAATCATGTTAGATTTAAACAAGTTAAATTTGGAAAAAATATCTAGTACGTTATTTCTTTTCGCAATTACATTATATTGATTCTGGCTTCTATTTAATGCCGAATAGTGTCCTAGATTGCTCTTAAAAGATTTAGGAGAAAACAATTTAAAACGCGAGGGTCTAACATGCTTACGTGGAATATAAAAAAATAATTTGTTGTAAAAGAGCTGAGCAATCCAATGCACCGTTAACCATTTTATATAGAATTTTATATAGAATTTGATAGATTATGTCAAAATCTAATAAATATAGGTACTATATAAAAATAAAAAATATTGTATATAAGTATTATATCTATTTACATTAACGACATCGTTTGTTTGATATAGTAAGGTGTTTGAGAAAATTCCCCACTTTTCAATAAATAAATAATTTCATGAAAATCAACTTCGTTTTACTAGTGGGACATACATGTACTAAGGTTGCTGGAATTGCTCTTCTTAAACATATTATGTTACTCGGGAGAATAGTTAAGCTAGATTTAATTTGCATTTTTTGTGAACCGTTAAAGGCATAAGCCATGAAACGTTGTTTGGAAAATTAGACCATAATTTATGACACTAACACATAACAAGCAAGGATTGCTATGCGATTTTTTATATGAGGTTCGTCATATATGACAGCTATTCTGGCTGTGGATCTCGGGTTTCTGGCAGCAGTTGGTCTAGGTGATGAGTCCACTTCAAACACAATCGACAGTTTATAGCGTATAGTGCAATATGCCTAGGCGCTGCAATACAATAGCGAACTACCACTTCCAGTGAGGATTAGAGTAGCAAGTTGCCTGGACTGTATCTCCTAGAGCAAAAGATCTAATTGGCCTATCGTTGGATCGCGATCGAGTGGTAGGATGTATCTTCTTCGTAATTATGATATCTCTGCTAAACATTGTTTGATAAGGCGATTGTTTACTAGGGCCCAGGATATAGAGCTGTGAGTAGTCTGCGTGGACGAAGCGTCAGTAGCGAAGAGTAATGATTTGGAAATAATGCAAGAAATAAAATAAGCCACGCTTCTGACTAGTCATATTTTTAAGTATGTACATAAACTGACAAATAAAAAAAACTCAAGTCTTAAAATAAGTTGTGTTGTATAATTCGGAAAGCAAAGGCTGACTTTTCTGTTTCGGGGGAGGGGATTTGCTACGGGCCCCGCTATGGCTTAATTCGGCACTGTCTTGGCGTAGAGTTTCAAAAGTGTTAACAGCTTAAAATGAATAAATGATTTGATTTATTGATTTTACTGTTGAACGCCTAAGTGCTATTCTATTAAAAGAACAGCATCGACCATAACGGTGTACCATTGACAGAATAGCAAATTTGTTTTTTTTTTTTTGAGTGCGTCCTTAATTGAGAGTATTTAGGACCGACTATTTAGGATTAAGCCGTCCTATATTGGTAGTAGATAAAGTGTTGAATTGGATAGTATTTTTACAAGCTTAATACGTATTTGAATAAAGAAAATATTTTATTTCATCCCATATCGTACCATATCGTCAACTCATCTCATTCACAGCTTTTTACTTGTTTATTCTGTATGTTGATTATATCCACAGCTGAATATAAACTAGTTTGCTACTACACAAACTGGTCGTGGTACCGGCCGGGGCTGGGCAAGTACACACCGGAAGACATCGACCCCACACTCTGTACTCACATCGTATACGGATTCGCAGTACTTGGAGAGGATGGCCTCATCACTGCCCACGACAGTTGGTCAGATCATGAGAACCGTGAGTACATATCATTACCTATTTTTTTATTTTTTTATCTATTTCTTTTTTTGAACGTAAATATAAATACATTTTTAGACAGTCTACCAACACCAATAAGGCATCAAACAATAGAAATAAGTTTAATCCTCTGAAATCTCTTTATTAAGTACAATTACCTAAGAATGATAATAAGTTTATAGTCTAAGTTACTTCTTACTAATAACACCGCTAACCTAAAAAAATGTTGATGTATCCACTTTATGTGTTTCGATCTTATCGAAGAAAAAAGTTTGTGGTATTATTTGTCTCGTTTCGGTTGTTTCTCTTTATTACGGTTTATTGTTATTTTGAAGTTGTTCTAAAAAGGTCATCAACTTTTCCTCCTTTTAAAAGAAGCTCATATATAGCACACGTGATTAGAAGCCCATACAGACCAACATATATGAATGTTACGCAATTCCAACAAAATTACAAACTTACACCTCGACTTGATAACCTCCTTTCTTTGAAGTCATTAAAAAAACTAAAAGGTCAAACAAGCATTACGAATGGAAAATAAAGGAAAACTGTCGTCGAAATGGTGAACCGTCTTATACATTGTATAATAACTATGTATTACGAATTTTAATTATGTCTTATGTCAAATGGAACATGTGTTTTATATGAATTGCAAATCTTGATCATAGGAATATTTTAATAAGTTCAGCACTTTTTTTACATTATTTACAGTATTTTACACGCGAGTAACTTACTACAAGCGATATGGCATCAAGGTATCTTTAGCAATCGGCGGATGGAACGATTCAGCGGGAGATAAATACTCTAAACTCGTTAACGATCCTTCAGCTCGTGCTAGATTCATCAAACACGCTATACCCTTCCTAGAGCAATATGGATTCGATGGACTGGATCTTGATTGGGAATATCCTAAATGTTGGCAGGTAGATAAACTTACTAACGAAGTATATAAAAAACGAGGCTCGTCTCTTAATTATATCTGCTCATCATTGCAATCATAATTTACCCGCAATTTTTAGGTCGACTGCTCTAAAGGCCCAGATTCAGACAAGCAAAACTTCGCGGAATTGGTGCGGGAGCTGTCAGCGGTGATGAAACCGAAAGGTCTATTACTATCAGCAGCGGTGTCACCTAGCAAGATGGTGATCGATGCCGGGTATGACGTGAAGAGTTTGGCGAGACACCTCGATTGGATCGCGATTATGACGTACGACTACCACGGACAATGGGATAAGAAAACAGGACATGTGGCGCCACTTTACTATCATCCAGACGACGACAATACATACTTCAATGCGGTGAGTCTGTAACTCGGTGATGATCTACGATTACCATGGAATAGTTAAAGTGGAAAAGAAAAAGTAGACATGTAAACACATACATAATCGCTGATCAAAATCACATATACCTAATAAAATGCTCTGTTGTGTTTTTTGAATATGTACCTACGTGATTTCTTGGCATGCGAGAAGGAGTTCGTATAGTATTTTCAAATTAATAGGGCTCCTACTCCAAAACCACTTTTTTATTTATATAGAATAAAGCTCGTAGATATTGCAAAACTGACGCCGAACTACTCGGAAATGGGAGAGCAAAAAAAAATAGTGACAATGTCTTAGAAAATAAGACAAACCTATAAAAAATTAAACATACCTAAACGAGCATTTAAAACATGAAATGCAAATAAATACTCAATATCCTCTTTTATTTATTTACAGAATTATACTGTTCACTATTGGATTAAGAAAGGAGCTCCAAGTTACAAGCTGGTAATGGGTATGCCAATGTACGGACAAAGTTTCACAATCGGTAACAAATGGGAAAGCCTCCAAGATCTGGCCAAAAAGAATGTTATTGGACTCAACTTTCCCGCTATGGATGGAGGAGAGCCTGGAGAGTATACCAGAGCTAAAGGATTTTTAGCATACTATGAGGTTTGAAATATAAAATTGATATCATTAGATAGACAGATAATATTTCATTTATAGGCTTCCCAAAGTAAACACAACGCATTTGCATACATTATAAATTCATATTACAATTATAAAAATCTACGCATTAACGTGTGTGCCGGAGCGATGCGAAAGGATTGATTCCTTTGCTCAGGGAGCAAAGTACAAATTTTCAGCTTTATCTCTCACATCTCACGCAATATCTTCATTTTTTTAATATCAACAAGTTGTTTATAGGTATAGATCAGTCATAATTATTTCATGAGGTAAGCGTTTCAGAATTGTGTAACTTTATCCTCAACTTTCAGATTTGTAGTCGTATCAAAAACAAAGGTTGGCAAGTAGTTAAAGATGATTACGGTCGAATGGGCCCTTACGCATATAAAGGCAACCAATGGGTGTCATTTGATGATGTGGATATCATTAACAAAAAAGTGAACTTCATTAAATCCATGAAACTTGGTGGAGGAATGGTCTGGGCTCTTGACCTTGACGATTTTAAAAATAGGTAAATTCATATAAAGAAGTTCACCCAAATATACATATTTAACCGTAACAAATAAATAATAATCTTTTATTATTTTAGATGTGGCGAAGGAAATCATCCTCTATTGAATGCTATAAAGAACGGTTTACTTAATCCTAAGGTAGAAGATTTGGAAATAATGCAAAGTCAAATGAGACCTAATCCTACGAACAGTATCGATGAGGAGGACGACTTGGACGATATTATGGTACCTATTCACCATAGGCCTACTAAAAGACCAATACAAACGACTGTCGCAACAACCACAACTAGAAAACCGACCACTACTACGACAGCAATTAGCACGATTAAGGAAGAACCATTCAAAATCGTTTGCTATTACACTAACTGGGCTTGGTACAGGTAATTTGTGGATTACAATTTGATAACGGTAGCAATTCTGTTGCATAGGCTAAATTTTATACTACGTTTTCAATTATGTTACCAAGATACCAGAAATAATCTATTATAATCATACTCCTATATATTTCTTTGATTAAATTTGACTATGATATAACGGTAAAACAAACCCAAATTAAAATTGGACTTTTTTTTTAATTTAGAGAGTAGTACAGCAAAATTTTCTCTTAAATTATATATCTAAATTTGTTCTTACAAATTTACATTTTTGCAGACCCGACAACGGAAAATACACCCCAGATGATATCGATCCAGAGAAGTGCACGCACATCGTGTACGCATTCGCTGTGCTCGACATGGACGACCTTATCATCAAACCTCACGATATTTGGCTAGACGTGGAAAATAGTACGTAATATAATATGTATTTAAAAAACTAACGTAAAAGAATGATAGTACCGGTGAGAAATGAATATCAGTATAGCTATAATATGTAGGAGAGCTATTACCGTACATGAAATTGAATGATTTGAACATTTGACATTATTACCAGAAAACTGAATAAAAAAAATTACACACCTGTCCTGTTAAATAGATCCGTCGATGATCTTATAAGAATTTAATAGAGATGGAAGACTAATATTGTTACTTTCTTAAATCTCGTTTTTACTATGTCCGTTATAAATTGTTCCAATTAATAGTCATTGTTGACTTTGCTTTTTCTATATTATAAGAAAAGTAATTTTCTTGTTTGCACTGCATTGCATGTTATATAATATGCAATAAAAATTACATTCTCTTTAAAACAGAGTTTTACGAGAAAGTGGCATCACTGAAGGTCCATGGAATCAAAGTTCTACTTGGTCTGGGAGGTTGGGATGACTCAGCAGGCGATAAGTACTCGAGACTGGTAAACAACCCTGCAGCTAGAAGAAAATTCGCAGTCCACGCAATCGACTTCATACAAGAGTTCGGCTTCGATGGTTTAGATCTTGACTGGGAATACCCGAAGTGTTGGCAGGTCAGTTTAGTTCATAAGCAATTAAAAATAATAATCATTTGTGAGCGTTTTTGATTTTATTTTAAAAATTCTTAAAATTTGATGCCTTCTATTTAATTCAGTTCCTGATAGTTTCATTTTAAGGTCTCTTTGACACAATTTCCTAAAAATCAGATAATTTATTAATAATCATACAAATAAATACAGCATTGTTTGACAATGTAAGCTGTAGAAAATTTTACAAATGAAATGATATTTTAATAGAAAATGTTTTCAAATATTATCTATATTTACAGGTGGAATGCGAAAAGGGACCTTATTCAGACAAGCAAGGATTCTCTAATTTAGTAAAGGAATTGCATACAGCATTTTACAAACGTGGCTTACTGCTGTCTGCTGCAGTATCGGCGAGCAAACGCGTCATAGATTACGGTAAGATTTTCAGTAACCACAAACATTCCTTATAACATTAAGAATTTAGATTGGCACATTATAAAGCCACATTTATATATTGGCACATTATAAGCGCCGCGGCCCGCGATCCTAGTCGTTAAGCAACTTTCGCAAGGGTCGGTCACGGGATGGGTGACCAAAAAATTATTATCTCGAGCTACTCCGTGCTTCGGAAGCCACGTTAAGCCGTTGGTCCCGGCTGCATTTGCAGTCGTTAATACCCTCCAATCCGCATTGGTCCAGCGTGAAGGGTCATGGCCCATCCTCCTCCTTAACCATCCATAAGGAAGGCCTGAGCCCCTGCAGTGGGGACGTGAAAAGGGTTGATGATGAAAGCCACAAAATAATAAAAATGCCCATGAATGAGCCAGATTACAAGACTGCAAAGTCTATGTATTAAAGGTAACTAACGTCATATTTTTCATTTCCTATTAGCCTATGATGTGCCAACACTATCTGAGAACTTGGACTGGATAGCGTTGATGACTTACGATTATCATGGACAATGGGATAAAAAAACTGGTCATGTAGCACCAATGTATGTACACAATAAGGATGACGACAGCACTTTCAACGTGGTAAGTTTTATTTGACTTTTTACAAATTGAAACATATCAATGAACATTAGAAATTGCAGATAGGTATGTGATAAATAATGATATAACCCTCAAAATAATATTGTCCCCAGAATTACACGGTTCACTACTGGATGGATAAAGGCGCTACACCCCAGAAGTTAGTACTGGGGGTACCATTTTATGGACAGACATTTTCTTTAGTGGAGGGAGCTGGCACTGAACTAGGTGCTCCTACTTACGCAGGAGGGGAGGCGGGAGACGAGACTAGAGCACGTGGCTTCTTAGCTTTCTATGAGGTACGATACTTTAAGTCAGTGTTTTCCAATCTGTATTCCACGGTCCACTAGCATTGTTGTGTTGGGGAGCCGCAAACTCCTTGTCACGACAAATGTGCGCCAGCGAAATTACGATTCAATAGTAACAGTCACTCCAATATCACAAATTTATTTGCAAAAAAGCAGCACCAAATTTTAAGCCTCTTTACTTTTCTGGTTTCGTACTTTTGATGTATGACCAAGCATACCACTTTGACAAATTCAATTTATTACAATCTTTTAAACAGATTGTGTATTTTTATAATGTCCTGTATCTTTATATAGTGTATTTTAATTCTGTTCCTAAAGCACTACGCACTGGCGCTTTACTATTTGCTTCTGTCGCTGTGCTCTTGACAGGAGACAAAAGGTGCACATGTAACCTTTCAATTTGGTAGTCACCATATGCACATGTAACCTTTCAATTTGGTATTATATCTGAAATCAATTATTATCGAACAGATCTGCGAACGGATCAGAGTGAAAGGTTGGCGGGTATACCGCGAGCCTGGCGGTCGCATGGGTCCGTACGCGACTGACGGCGACCAGTGGGTTTCGTTCGATGACGACTGGGCCGCGAGACACAAGGCCCAGTATGTGCGGGCCCTTCAGCTCGGCGGCGCTATGGTCTGGTCGATGGATCTTGACGACTTTACCGGGAAGTACTGCGGCTGCGGACGGTCGCCGCTGTTGGCTAATATCAACCATGTCCTGCGCGGGAAGGAAGCGCCGCCGCCATGCACGTTAGAAGAAAGTCAGTAACTCATTTAAAACTACCCAAGATAGATTAGAAATTGACTGCCTGAAGTCCAATTATGTATCATAATAATAATATCATTTATTTATTTCTTTCACAAATTAAATCTAACTACATACAATAACAAGAAACCAATCGTACAGTTTGTGAGAAGCTGGTGCCTATCAGAGGTTTGGATAAACCTGTCACCAGGTCTCATCGCAAAGATATGTTGAACTTTCATAATGCAGGGTTATTAAATTTCAGTGACGATGGAAGACTAGTAAGAATTGCACTTTTTAGATTAAAGTTAAGTTTATGGAATAAAATAAGCTAATAAAAAAAACAGTATGTCATCTTATGTTTAGGTCTTAGTAGTTAATTGAAGTTGATGTCAATCATTTGTAATGTGCGAGCAGGTTGAACCCTTTTTTTCAATTTTTAATAAACTTTTTCTTTTTTGATTCTACGTTAACAGAAACAAAAATTATCTAGACAAAAAGACAAAAACTATCTTAACTCAAATATTTTCTTTTATATTTTTCTTAATAACTGGTCCTCTATAGTTAATTCCTCGCAATCTTTCTGTCGTTCTTGACTTTGTTCATTTTCGTTATTCCACTGCTTTACCCACTGTTTATGATCCTAATTTTTTAATCCATACCAGGCGATCAATTCACAATTAAATATGAACTTATATTTCATGACCAGTTACTATTTCATCTACCCTGAATTGATTTCTAACTCCATTATTGTACTCTATATTAATGAACGTAAACGAAAATATCAAAATAAATAGTATGAATAAAAAACCCTTAAAAACGTCATCCATATAAAAATAATCTTAAAAAGATTATTAAACTTTATCAATTAATTTTAGTTCAAGCACCACCCACAACGATGCCCGCAGGAGTGTCAACTACAGAAATGGCTGACCTAGAATACAAGCCGGCACATCCAGAAAGTGAAATGAACCCGGGTTACGATTCAGTTAGTATTAATTCTTTTCATATTCTATGATTAAATGTAAGATATTTTTTTTATAATAAAATTGTCATTTCGCAGGGATCGTCTCTAGATGGCAAACCTTGTTCAGGAGTAATATTCAAAGGAGATAATGTAGATTGTAGTAAATATTATATTTGTATGAACGGAATATATTTGGAACTGACATGTCCAGCACCTCTGGTATGGGACAAAGTAAGTCACATTAATACATCGAATATTGTAAACTCAGCTACAATTAACATAAAATATTTTTTCTAAATGTTGGTGTATTTCAGAATCACTGTGAACAACCAGAAAAGTCATCTTGCAGAAGTAAAGCAAACTTGAGAATTCCGGGTGAAAGCAAACCAATTTTTGGAGATAACAAACCAATCATTGGCTGCTACTTCACAAACTGGGCATACTACAGGTCAGAATTTTACCAAACTTTATAAATTTTTAACAACAAGTAATGTAAATAACAATATTATAATATCTGTTTTAGACACGGAAATGGCAGCTTTGGGCCTGAACAAATTGATCCGTCTCTGTGTACTCACATCATATACGCATGGGCTCATCTCGATTACAACACTTACAATATAATTCCTGGAAACCCAGAACTGGATATAGATAACGGTAAGATAAAAACCTCACAATAATACTTCAACTATCTAGCTAGATAAAAATTAAATGAATAGTACAATCGGCGTTCTTGTCGCTGTTAATGCCAGCAAATGTTGGTTGAACTACATTTTTATGCAATGGGATATAAATCTTCTGTTATAAAGTAAAAAATAAGTAGGTACCTAAATACTTACAGATACAAAACATGAATATGATTTCAGATTTCTACGGAAAAATAACAAATCTGCGCTTGTTAGGAGTTAAAGTTATTATTGGAGTAGGTGGCTTAGAAGATTCAGAAGACAGCAAATGGGCTGAAATGGCCGCTAGTCCCAAAAACAGAAAGGCATTCGTAGAATCTGCACTCAAATTCTTAAAAAGATGGAACTTCGATGGTTTACAGCTCGCGTGGCAGTATCCTGTTTGCAACCAGGTAAAAATCTCGTATAACATGTGAATTTACCGTTACTACAATAAACACCAAATGCCACATTAGCTACTTTATTAAGATTCACCAACATCTCAAACAAGAAAGGGTCTCTTCAATTGTATTTTATTAAATCAGTGATAATGTTTATATGGTTATGATTTCAATAAGGACCCAATCGGTAGAAAGATATCATATCGTCACCAGGATATATCAGAATAAAAACTAATTTGCAATGGTTTTAAACATGAACAAAGAAAATAGATAAGGGTGATATTTGTTTTTGCAGATGCCATGTACAGACTTCGACATCACAGAAAAAGAAAACTACAGCATACTTATCGCGGAATTGTCAAAAACTCTCCATCAACATAACTACGAGCTCTCGGCCATGGTTTCATCATCGCCCGAGATAGCAACTTTGGCTTACGATCCAGAAATATTAACGGCTACTTTAGACTGGATCTCACTTGCCGCTAATGACTATTACGCTTCGAAATCAGGAAGAACCGCGTACTTGGTGCCTTTGGAAACTGTAGAGCTTGCAGGAATTAATAGTTTTGTAAGTATAGCCCTACGCTTGCACTTGCGAAGTAGATAAACCATGCTCTGTACATGTTCTAGATAGGTGTAATTGATATTTGTGTCAAGAAATACAATAATACATACTGTATGATCATCTCTCAAAAATATACTGCTTCTTTTTACCGAACGCGCCGATCAAATTCAAAAGGTACTATAAAAATAAAATAAAAAAATCTGCGTTCCATTTCCTTAGGACTAGCAAGTTACAACACCGCTGTTCACTTAATTCCAGCGCAACTTTCAACTGAGTAGATTATTATTATGTATAAAGCAAAAAAGCCTATTAAATATTCAATTTTTCAATTTGTGTCTCTTACAAATTTAGTATAGTGACTCAACTCTCTTATCGCATAAATAAGTATATCATTTCTTAATTGAATAATTTTCAGAATATATCGAGCGTGAATCTGATTTGTTGGATTAAAAACAAATATACATATTAACTTGCAGAATTCGTCTCTGGCATACTGGACAAGTGTAGTCCCACAAAGTCAGATAGTAGTTGGCGTGCCAGCGTACGCGCGTTCATACACGCTACGTAGTGCAGAAAACGCCGGCGTGCATGCGCCAGTAACAGGACCCGGAATAAAAGGACGCTTCACGATGGTTCCAGGCTTCCTGGCCTATTACGAGGTAAGGTAACAAAAAAAGTATAGTCAATAGAATGGTTGAAAATTTATATGTCCTATCTCGAGGTACCTGGGACTGGTGTTTTAAGCATTTTTCATTAAATTTTTTACTCTGGGCTATGTAAGAATCAACCAAATGTATCAAAGTCAAAGCACTCAAGATCACAAGTCTCCTTATTCGCATTGGTACCTAACATTAATACAATTCTTTTGTGTAGATCAAATTTAGTTCCTACTAGATAACCCGCCCCCTAATTGTCTAATTTTAAATCTATTGCAATCGCTTTCAGTTTGAAAGGTGTTGCACAACCATTGCTTGTTTCTAAAGACAGTTGAAAAAAAAGTATTTGTATTATGCAGCAATGGTTGTGCAACACCTTTCAAACTGAAAGCGATTGCAATAGATTTAAAATTAGACAATTAGGGGGCCGGGGTATTTATCTCCTATCACCATTTAAGCTTTCCCTATACTACAAACATTTCAAAACCAAATCGGCTAAATCAGCCCAGCCGTACTCGAGTTTTAGCGAGACACGCAATTTGTTTTTATATAAATAGATATATTCTTAATGAAAAATGCTTAAAAGTTTCACTTGTCCCTGGCACTCTGAGATGAGACTCGAACACGTGACCTTTCGCAATCCGGGCGACTGCTCTAACCATGAACCCAGGACCTAACAAGACTGACGAATTTTTCAAACAAAGACAAAGTAGATTTTTAACCATTTATTAATATAGCATAGTAAATACAAAATTGATCAAATATAATAATATAGATATATTATCACAATTTAACTGTTAAAAAAAAACCAATCAATATCCAATCACCCATAGATATGTCCCGGGCCTTCGAGCGAATGGAAAGAAACCCAAACAGAAGACGGTACTTATGCGGTGCGACGCTCTCAATGGGCATCGTACTTGAGCGCGGTGGAGGTACACCGGGTGGGGGCGAGCGGGGCCCGCGCGGGGCTACGGGGCGCCGCGCTTTGGGCCCTCGACCTCGACGACTGGCAGCCCTTGTGCACACCCCGAGTCTGGCCCTTGCTCAACGCTCTACGGCAGGGATTACACGAACCGGAACTACCATTAGAATTGTAATTACACATTATTAACTATTATAGACTGATCTTCATGCGTCGCCAAGAAGGGGTGAGGAGGCAAAAAAGTTGCCTAATGTAAAGCAACCAAAGTCCTAAGTCTTTGAGTTCACTTTCTTGATCGTTGAAACTTGAATGAACTTAGAAAAAGGGGAACGGTGTACATTTAAACTCCCAAATTATTTTTATTCTGTTTTTCTATAACGTGTAAATAAGTTACTTTATTTATTCTACAGGAAAGAGTTCGTATAATAAGTAGGACTCTGTACTGTTGTTATTACAATTACGTACATATTTCTCTATAATCTTGCCTCCCCCCTTGGGCCATCGGCTGATGGCGCCTCTTCTACATGCCATAGTACTTTGAGATTGTTGAGATTTTTTCGATTTAGCACTAGAAAAAGTTGTGCGAAATTCAACCACGCTTATGGAGATTTTCAATATTCTTCTAAGATTATATCCCCAGTCTTCTACTTTTGAATCAAATTACCCAGATTTTAAAACTTTCTTCTCACTAAAAAATATTATTCTACAGTAGTGGGTTAACGGAGACTTGCCGAAAATGCTTGTAAATTTGAAAATGGTTGATCACAAAACTTTAGTATTAGTTTAATAATAATAGACTTGAGCGATAATATGATCTGTACTATAACTATAATGTAAAGTATACATATGTATCTTAACTATGTCCTTTTTATAATACTTATAAAAATATACGGACTTTTTTTTATATGGTATCACATATAAATAACATTTGTAGCTATGAATACAGAAAATACCTAACGATGTGATAATTTTTTAAGTATACATTGTAAGAAATTATGTTAATAAGTATAAAGTTTTTCAATGAGAAACTTGGTCTTTAATTTACGGGACAATAACTTTTATGTTTATTTTTGTTTATATTAGATTTCATAATTTAAATTCTGTGAAAAATATATTTTTGTAATTTGTACTGAAAAAAAAATGCCCGTAAAATAGTTGCAGTGCAATAAATATTTATAAATTTAAATTTGTTTAACTCATCCAGTTCAACACCATTTCTATACCTACGCATGTTCCCACATAACTTTTAATACGTATACGTCCACCAAGAGGTTCACGCAACAGGTCTGGATTTAGGGGAGCAAAAAAGGGCTAATTAAATAACTATCCTAAATTATTAGCCACAAAACCCACCTCCACTATATTTACAAAGGTGTAGAGGAAAACTGTCAGTGTGGGACTGTTAATTTATATGCTAGTTCATTATTTAGTACTCAGTTGATAACAGTGGGCCTTATTAGGCGACAGTAACCTTATTAATAATTATATAGGTATAATACACGTAAATAAAAATACTTACTTACACAATAAACTGGTCAAACAATACTTTTAATTTCTAAGCAGAAAAACATTAATATCATCTTATATAATACTTACACGGTAAGTAATCTTATACAACAAAAATCCCAAATTAGTCTCAAAACTTTTTTACATTACTAATCTATCAAATAAGTTGTAATAAACACTTCGCAATGAGATATAAACAGTTTTAAAATTTTTATCATCGTATTAATGTTAGCCAGCCTAGTAGTATTCCTAATTTGGGATACAGGGCTTCCTTTTGGGTGGAATCGAATAGGGAGGATGGGACAATAAGTGTAGTAAGTAAGTATGAGAAACACGCACGCTCCATAATATACCAAACTCACTACAGTTTATCGTCGCTTTAAATATTGTTCTATACATAAAGGACTTTTTCCTTTACTCTATTGTCCACAGATTAAGGATTAGTCTAATGTCTATCTGTGTGTATATAAATCATATCATATAAATTGGTCAGGTATATCTGTGCTCTAAAACTAGAGATGCATGTTTCATAGAAATATAGATATATCGAGTTATCGATTAGGTTACTATCGATATGGATATATCGCTTCATAAAGCCGATATATCGATATTAATCAATGTTTTTTTTGAGTCTTCGGTAATTCTAAAATTTTGTTTGTAAAAAACATTTAATAATAAATGTATTGAAAAAATCGGCTAATAATTGTTGGCAGCTAATGCCTGGCCACTAAACTTGTTCCTACTTTGTGTAATGTTGAATCCTGCACGCGTAGCATGACGGACTCGAGAGCGTTTTCCGAATCACCTTTGGGGGTTGCGTACATCGTTTAATTCACCAGAATATTCAGTGTCAACTTCGACTAGGATGGTTTGGATATAGGAAGTTAAACGCTTCTTAAGTATTCAACGAATTTTATATTTATCAAGACCACTGGAAATTATCTTCTTGCGTTGCTACTCACTCGCAGAGATTATATAATAATCATTGTACACCAGAGACATAAACAATATGAAAACTATAAAGAGTATATATTCTAGGTACAAAAATTTCGCTACACCACCCCCCCACGGAGTGGAAAAACCTACAACAAAAAAAAAAACTATTTCACAAAGTCGTTAAATTTTTTGAAACGTACTTGTCTTCCCGATCGGGTAGTGTATGCAGGTTCTTTGGAGGAAGTGGTAGGGAGCTGAGCTGTGGACGGAGCTGGGAGACTACGAGCTGGAGGAACTGCAACAGTGGTTTGCAAACAAGTGTTGTCCCTAAAAGGGTCAGCTTCAACGTAAGCAGGCTTGACTCTGTCTAAGCTTACGGTGACCTGTCTTCCACCCAGATCTAGAGTGATCGTTTTCTCCTGTTGTTGTAGGATGCGATGGGGACCTGAGTATGGAGGCTGCAGCGATTTGCGAATTGCATCATCACGAAGAAACACATGAGTAACCGATGCCATATCCTTAAATATGAAAGATTTTGGCTTGGCATGACACGACGCAGGAACTGGTCGAATTGTCTCCATTTCTTTTCGCAATTGATAAACCAGATCAGATACCTCTGCAGAACTGCTAAAATCTGACACTGGTGCCAAAAACTCGCCGGGGAGGCGAAGTGTTTCACCATCTACCACTTCAGCGGATGAAGCTTTTATATCTTCTTTAAAAGCAGTCCGCATGCCAAGAAGAACTAGTGGCAACGCTCTGGTCCACGTATCAACATGGCACATGAGTGCTGCCTTAAGTTGGCGATGGATTCGCTCCACCATGCCATTGGCACATGGATGGTTGTTCTATACGAAGATTCTAATAAATAAAAAATGTCTTCTGTTTTATCGTGTACTTTATTTCGAGAGTGTGTCACAGAACAATGATCTACGTCTAGTAGTAGTGTTGGGGTTACCAACTTACAAAATATAATTAACAATATGGAACATCCCCCCTTTACATGACGTTTCCCTTACTATAACCATGTATGTATAATGTAGGTACATTAGCAACTATTAAACACCACATATTACTAAATATATAAACTTAAAATCTAATACAGGTAATAATTTTTTAACCCTTGTGGAGCTTTTATAACCCTACCTGATCTAGTTCTAATAGGGATGTTTACAATCTCCTGTTCTTTACCTATGGGATCTGTAACAGGTACATCCCTATTATTTGTAACTGGTATATCTATATCCAGACACTCTTCTTTTAAAACTAAGTCATTTTTCCTGTTATTCAAATGATTTTTATTTCTACGAACTACATTGCCTTCTTCATTTAAAATGTTATATGATCTTGGCTCAACTTTATTTATAATCTTCCCCGGTACCCATGTTTTATTTGGCAAATTTTGTATCATTACATTATCCCTTTCTTTAAAATCTACCCTACTTTTTGCTGTTTTATTATAATTTTTTGTGTATTTTTCTCTAATTATTCTCATTTTTTCTTTAACATTAATAGGCAATTTTGACTTTAACTCTTCTTTAACACAAGGCAAAGTAGTTCTTAGAAGTCTTGACATAAGCAACTCTGATGGAGAATATTCTAATCCAGCAACAGGTGTTGTTCTGTATGCTAACAAACCCATAGTAAAATCTGAATTATCTTGTTTACATTTTTTCATTAACTGTTTGACAATTCCTACTGCTTTTTCTGACAAACCATTTGATTTTGGATATCTAGGGCTAGAGTGCACTAATTCAATATCCAATTCTTTAGCAAATTTTTTAAATTCAAAACTGGCAAATGGCATATTATCACTTACACATATTTTAGGGATTCCATGTGTACTAATAATAACTTTAAACTGTTTAATAACATTACTAGAATTCTTTTCTTTCAAATATTTAACTTCTATCCATTTAGAGTAATAATCAATTAAAACTAAATAATCTTTTCCATTACAACTACAAATATCAACACCAACTTTATAAAATGGAATATCTGGTATGTCATGTGACATTAAAGGTTCTTTTACATTTGATGATCTAAATCTCTCACAAGGTTTACAACTCAAAACAAACTTCTCTATATCTACAGACATCCCTGGCCAAAATAAAACTTTTCTAAGTCTTTTCTTACATTTCACAACACCAGCATGTCCTATATGAGCTATTTTAATCATTTCTTGCCTCAAACATTCTGGTATAACAATTCTATTTCTATAATATATTATATTTTCTTTTACATGAAGTTAATTTCTCAATTTATAGTACACTTTAAAGTTTTTATTGTAAATACTTTTATCCTAATTTGGCCATCCACTACTATACCAGGAGAGCAGATTTTGCAAGGTTTGATCTTTAATTGTCTCATTTTTTAACTTTTGTATTTTTTCTTCAGCAATAGGCAACTCGCTTTCTAAACCAAACACTATTTCTGTATCAATAACATGTACAATTTCTTGCAAAGTGGGCTCTTCTTTTTTATTATTATTATTAAAATTTCTAGACAAGTAATCAGCAATGAACATCTGCGAGCCAGGTATATATTTAACCTCAAAATTATATTTTAAAAGTTTTAATACCATTCTCTGTAGTCGAGCTGAAATTTTATTAATATCTTTTGTTAATATAGCCACCAATGGTTTATGATCTGTTTCTATGCGTATTTTTCGCCCATAGACAAACTGATGATATTTTTCTATTGCTATGCAAATTGCAAATAATTCTTTTTCTA